TATTATTAAGGGGTTCTTTATATATATATTTAACCTTAATATTTCTATTTTGTTCATTTGAAGATCGAAGATGAAAAGGGATTAATTTTATTGAAATATAAATGTAGAATTACTAAAAGGGATTAATTTTTGTGAAACTAATTAACCTCAAAATTCGTTACCAATAAAACATAAAGAAACCTATATACGAAATATTATAACAAAATTTTTAATTATTTATCTTACTTTTTTTATACAATATAAAACTTTCATCTTATCTTCAATTTTCTAACGATCTTCAAATTATATGATTTTTTTAAGAATAAGCTAGACCTAAACACTTTTTAATATCAGAACTTTATTAAACACGTATTATATATTTATACCTCTACGTCAAGAAAATGCATTCAATATTTTATATTAACTAAAGATAGCACGTTTTATTTTCTCTTTTTTGTGTTTTATTTGTTCAGTATTTAAATAAAAGTGATTGAGCCTGCTCAATTTTTTGCTACAACATTTTAAATCAATAATTGTGTTAGATTTGGACTATTCATATACTCTTATTTATTTTATGTCATTAAGCTCTTAACATATCATTAATTAACCGACATAAGGTCTGTCTCCTCCCCAACCAACTTGGAAATGTGTTGTTACGTCCAGAGTTGACAAATATATCGTTATTAATTTCTCATTAAATTATTTAACTCTGCTTTGTCTAATACTTAATCTTTAAATTTCTTACCCATAACAATTTAGGATTACTTTAATTAATTTCATATTTCATTTTCTAATGTTGTTTTAAGTAACAGAGGATAAATGGCTTCACGTTTTATGGGTTTGAGAAGTTGACTTCATGGCTGATAATGTTTCACGTCTATATTTTTCGTCAATTTTTGCGGTGTTCAAGTATGTGTTACACCAAAATTCATATATGTTTATTATTTACTCTAAAAAATAATAAAAATAATTAGGAAGACTTTTATAAGTGCAGATGAAAAAAATCAAGAGATTTTGAACTCTTGTTTATTCATATAAATGGAACTAAATTTGAATAACTTAGTTACTGTTTTAAATTCAAGTTTTTGTGAAGAGACTTGATTCAATTCGAGACATCATTATAAAGTTAACCAACCAGAAAAAAAAAATATTTGAAGAAAATACATTAATTCGAAACATATCAATACAATAACGTGGAATTCCAATAAATAAAATTTTAGGATTAAATATCTTTTCTTCCAAAAATTATATAATTTTTATTTATTTTTATTTTTAGTTTGATAAAAGTGAATTTAAATCTAATTTAACTTTATAAAATTAATTTGTAAGCAGATATTTGAATTTATTTATATAAAATAATAAATTTTAACTTATAATTTTAATACCATATTAATAAAAGAACTTCAAACTTAATTTAATTCTATAAAATGGATTTAAAAAGTAAAATTTTATTTATATATTTTAAATTAATTTTATCTTTAGTTTAATTGATCTTTAATTGATGTAATGTAACGTCAAAATATATACATGTTAAACATAAATAAATTAAATGATCTTATAGCAATCTAATATATCTATATGTTTAATAAATATAATTTTACTATAATAAATTTTAATCCATAATTTTGATCTCATAGTAAAATAAATTTTAAATAAATCTTAATGTTAAGGTCAGAAAAAGAGATAAACCCTAGACCAAGGGAAGATCACACGTGAATAACAAATGCATTAATATTGTTTGAGTGACAAAAGATAATACTATGTATATATAATAAACAAATTTAGCTTTGAAAATCAATTTAGACGATCAGCCAACCAAATAAATATATTAAATTTGGACAATTGAATTGTCGTGATAATATAAAATAATAAAATAAAAAACCTGCTATGTAATTCTTCTTTTTATATAATATTCTAAGAATTTTATTGTCATAATATTGAATATTTCCCTCAAAAACTATACTGTACATCAAAATCCATATTTTATACGTCGATTCGAATATAATATTAAAATATAAAATTCTAAATAAATTAATTCAAACTTCTTTTGCAGTTTTATTTGTTTGGTTTTGCGCAGTTCTCTAAAATTGTTTTGAATTTGACTAGTAACAATTATATATAATTTAAAAAAGAAGTAGCCTTGATTAATCCTTGAAATGATATTTTCATTACCATTAAATATTAAGGTAAATAAAATAAAAGAAATACAGGTAATGTGTAAAATTCAATGTAATTAATGTGACAAGACTTAATATTTTAAATTAGATGTTAAGTTAATCAATAATTTAATTATTTTATAAAATAAAAACAATAAAAGTAATGTGTAAAAATCAATGTGATTGATAAGACTTAAAAATTTAATTTAAATGTTAAGGTGATCAATAATTTAATTATTTTTATCAAATATTGCAAATAATGTGTTAAATTCATTAGGGATTTTTAAATCTTATACAACGTGATCAATAACTATAAATTTAATAAACCTGTTTCTCCGACTGTTAATTAATGCACTTAAATAAACACCATTTCATGTAATACACACAACATCAACACCTAATTAAGACCATAACCAAAATTCAATATTCAACAAATGCCGCGGTTTTTTCTTTTTTCTTTTTTCTTTTTTTGTGTGGGTAATTTGTTCAATGTCTCATGTATCACACAGATAACATCCAAAACTTAAAACTGTCGTAGTCCTCTTCATACACATCGACAGAGAAAACAAGATAACCCAATTATTATATTTTACATTGATTTCATATTACCTAAAAGAAAATTATATTCATATAATTTCAACTAATGTCATCATTAAATAATTTTATACAAATATCATATTATTTTGATAGACATAATATAAGAATTATTCACAACATAAATACTAATTCCATATATCTTTTTAACCTTTTTGATTTGAGAACACATTTCAGTCTCCCTAACTGCATCCTAATACCATGTTGTAAAAAGTTAGGTATCTTAATATTTTCAAATACTTTTTTTAACATTTTATAATTTTGATCTATTTCTTTCTTTTGCATCACTTTTCTCTTTTGATATCATAGTAATGTGCATGCATCATTTTCTCATCATTAAATGAAATTGTGCATTTGTTTAAAATGAGATTTTATATTGGTTTGCAAGAATAGGATAACAAAAGTATTGGATTGTTTTATATCGATTTTTAAATTGGTATAAAAAGTTCACTTTTTATTTTGATTTTAAAATCGGTATAGAAAGTTGGTTAAGGAAAGTGACAAAACTGATCAAAAACTTTTATACTGATTCGTTAACTAACAATTCCAATAGGTATAATTAGCTTCACTTTTTATGCGGATTAAAGTCTTAACCGGTATAAAAACATGACTTTTTTATATCTGTTATACTGGTTCAAACATTAACCGGTATAAAAAGCAACACTTTTTTTAAATACCAACTTGCATAAAATTCAATTCTAGAACATTCCTATAATACAGTCCAAATATATAAAAGGAACAAAATAATGGTTGTACTTCATAGTATTTACACATCTAATATTTACCTAACATCATCATCTATAAACATTTAAAAAGAAGGAAGCATCTTGCTCCCAAACTCCCTTTAGGACCTCTTGCTCCATTGGAGATGCATTACCAAAAATCTATACAATTAATAGTTTGAGTCAATTTATAATGATAAATATTAAAGATATTAGTTATAAAATGTTCACATTACTAAATTCTATGAGCCAACAATATTTGTGAATATGATTTTTTACATTTGCCTATTACATAATATTCACACCTAGAAATAATGTTTTTCCTACAACCTCAAATAAGTCTCAATCACTTTGTAAAAATTAAACATACATTGAAATGAATGCCTAGTATGCAAAAAAAATTATTAAAAATAAATAATGTTATAATAACTATTAATATATTCAAACTTCATAAATATAAAAATTTACTTACAACTAAAGTTGTAGTACTAATATACATAACATATCAGTGTTAATCATTCTTGTAACATATGAAAAAAGATAGGCAAACTCTTCTATTTGTGATCTCAACATACATGTGTAACTGTATAGGAGAAAGGGAGATCTTCGTTCTAGAATTTTTTTTTTTTCACAAGTCAAATCAGATCAATATCAGTTCAAAATAGCTAAAGGCCAATTGATTCAAAATTGCATACTTTTACTCATACATATCGTTAATCATAAGCATACATCTTTCACTGCACTTATCCATAAAAAAACTTCATCATTCCCAACTATCAATAATAGGTAAAATAGAAATACAAACATATTTCAACTCCTCACAGTATACTCTCACTAGCTACACATACGTATCTAAACATATCATAATTATCACAACTAAATTAGATATTTGACTTATTTTGGGTTACATGGATTCTAGAATGACATTTAGATTTCTTTATCTACTTTTCTTTTTTACTTTTAGCACGAAAAATTCTTTTTGAATTTGAAAAAAAAAATCTTTGTGAAAGTTAAAAAACTCTTTTGTTTTCTTTTAAAAGATATGATGAGAGATTACATAAATTCACAGTCATATTAAAAGTCTCTTTTTTTATCAATAATTGTTTTATCAGTAATTACATTATTAATATATTAAAACAATTTAATATGCTTAATTACATTATTAATATAAAGTATCATCATCATTTTATCTATAATTAACCTTTGTGGATAATAAATAAATAAAAGAATTTGCTTTAAAATATAGAATGGAATACAACTAGACCTACTCTTATTCTGATTATGTAGAGATAAAACAATTTTATGGTACCTCAAATCATTCATATACTCTAGAGTTTAAATTTAGAAACTTTTAAAATTTCTCCATCATTTATTGGGGTGGTAGCAGTAGGTGTATATTTTGGTGGCATTAAGGGTTCTTATTCTATATAAACACAGCAGAAAAAAGCATTCCTAAATAATCATCTTCACCATATAATAACTCTGTCTCTGATATCAACTATCATTTCATTCCATCTTCTCCAAATCGTTGGCTAATCGAAGGGAAATAATGCCTCAGTTCTTCCAGGGAAAGACCATTTTAATCACTGGCACAACGGGCTTCTTAGCAAAAGGTACTATTACTACTACATATGTACAATGCATCTATATATAACAAATAATTTGAACTTTTGCTTCTGCCATTGAATTTGTCTATTTTATGCGCAGTTTTCTTGGAAAAGATTCTAAGAACACAACCAGAAGTTAAAACACTATATCTTCTCGTACGAGCAGAAAACATTGATTTGGCTGCAAAACGCTTTCAAAATGAGGTAAATGAATGGTAAAATATTATCCACATGCTTGTTATCATGAACATGAACACCTATATAAATACTTATCCAATACAGAATCTGTCAACAAACCATCCGTTCAACCGTCCCTTTTCCTCTTTCTGGAAATTGAATTGAGGTCCCATACTTGTCCCTACTTGTCAGAATAATGAAAAATCATTTTTCCTACTAAATTTTAACACCGATTCATTTTAGTTGTATATACTGAATTGTGGCATTCATGGCGCATTAATTCCTTTAATGGTCATATTACAGGTGATTCTGACAGATTTATTTAGAGTGTTACGGGACCAATGGGGTGAAGATTTTGATTCTTTCATCTCGAGCAAGATTGTGGTCATACCAGGAGATGTTTCTCTCCATAACTTTGGTCTGAAAGATGAAAAGCTTAAGAGTAAGATGTTGGAAGAGACCAACGTTGTTGTGAATTTTGCAGCATCTACTAAATTTGACGAAAGGTACATTATCTAGTAGGAATAATCGACAACTTTTGCTTCTAAATTCGACATTTGGATTCATTGTTATTTGTCCACAGATTTGACATCTTAATGGATGTAAATACAATGGGTGCCTTACATGTCTTAAACTTCGCAAAGAATTGTCGCCAGATAAAGGCTTTTGTGCATACATCAACTGGTAATTGTAGTTAACTATAACTTATATTACTATATTTACCAAAACGTTGTTCACTTAAGATTACGCTAATTTCCATTCGTAATACATCTTTTGGTATGAATTAATGAATATGTCAGCATATGTGTGTGGAGAGATTAAGGATAGAAAAACAATTGTGCAAGAGAAACCCTTTGAGATGGGTCAGACCCTGAAAGAGACCTCGAAATTAGACATCACTGCAGAAATGAATTTGTTGAAGAAGAAAATCGATGAACTCCGATCAGAGAATGCTACTGAAAACACAATCAGATATGTCATGAAAGATTACGGAATTGAAAGGTACATCAAATTCTTATTCTGTGTATATATTCATTGATCTATAAATGACATTATTTTTTTGTGATGTATCAGAGCAAAGTTGTATGGTTGGCCAAACACATACACATTCACAAAAGCAATGGGAGAGATGCAAGTGGTTCATCACAAAGATAATGTTCCACTAATCATTATACGTCCCACCATGGTTACCAGTACCTTTAAGGACCCATTTCCTGGTTGGATTGAAGGCTTAAGGTATAAACTTGATCATGATTAACTATAGTCGAATTTCTCTTATGTCTTCACTTGAAATACCTAACATCTAGACAACAAAATAATTATGTATCAGTTCAACTTCAAGTTAAACTTACAGAGTTTACTGCATTATGTTGAAGATTTTGTTAAACCTATATAAGTTCTTGACGAGGAATTATAAGTTAATGAATGTATTTTGTATTTACAGAACTCTGGACAGCATAATATGTAGCTATGGTCAAGGGAAAATAACAAGCTTTCTTGGTCATCCCAAGACAATTTTGGATACAGTAAGTTAAACTATATTAAATTTACTTTGCTTATATTAATGGATATACCTAAATACATGATTATTTGAAGAATAAAACTCCAAAAGTTTAGACTACTTATCATTCAGCGTCTAAAAAGCATTGTTTTGCAAAACATTTTTGGATGTCTAAAGAGTAAAATAAAGTGAACAATGTTCTTCTTTGTTATAAGCATACTTACAACATGATTTTGTTTATGCTAACTGCTATATGGTGCAGATACCTGCGGACATGGTTGTCAATTGTATGATGACAGCAATTGTTGCTTGTTCAAATGAAGCTCCAAAGAATTTCATCTACCACGTTTCTTCATCGTCAAGAAATCCGTTCAGAATTGCCGATGTTCGTGATTTCAGCTATCGTTATTTCACTAAATTCCCAGTCAGAAACAAAATTGGAAAGCCAATAACAGTTTCCAAGCCAACTTTGATATCAAGTAGGGTTGCTTTCGACATTCTCATGACAGTCCGATATTGTTTGCCACTAAAGGTTTGTCGAATACCAAGATTAACTAAAGAATGAAGCAAAAACTATAATCATATATATATTAATAATGTTTTAAGGTTCCATGATAATCTTTGTTTATATTTAGGTGTTAAATTTGGTGAACGAAGCGTTTTGTCAATGCTCTCGAGATGTTTACGAGGATAGCTACAAAAAAATCAAAAGGGTGACACGACTAGTTGAACTGTACAAACCATACCTGTTTTTTAAGGGCGTGTATGTATTTTCCTTGGTCTGTGGTTACTAGAAATCATACATGAACTACTTTGATTCATAACCATCATTCTCATACGAATTTTCGGTTTCAGCTTCGACGATTCAAACACACAAAATTTACCAAGAGCAACAAGTAATAACATGGAGGTTGATGGATTGGACTTTGACCCTAATAGCATCGATGGGGAAGACTACGTGATGAACACACATTCCTGGTCTTGTAAAGTATGCATTGAAATGATTGATATTTGAAGTTTCTGCTTTGAAATGGGTGCACAATGTTTTAATAAACTTTTATTGTTTGGTTTGTAATATAAGAATGGAACATAATAATAGAATTGAGTAATTTACTTTTACATTTGGATTGCATTTATGTTAAATGCCTATTTTCTTTTTATCGACAAAATGAATATATAAACATGAGAGCATTTGGGGTTCTCTCGTCTATATACAAATATTAAATATAAAGATAATGATTAAAAATCTCGTATAGACTAATAATATATAAACATTATCTTATATACCATTCACTTGAGATGTTATTAGAGTCAAATGAATGTTATTATAATGATATTTGTTATTTATTAAAAATATTTTGTTATTTATTATTGAAATTTTTGTTGCGAATTTTTACATTTGATGATTTCCTCTCGAGCAGGCTTTCTTATTTCCTAAAGATAAGAAAAAATTCATTTATCTATGGCTGAGAGAAACATATTAATAAGAGGACTGATGTGCAACGTGGGAGGCATATGTAGTAGAAAGTGATCATTGTGGGTCATTCTAAAATGCCTAGGTTTCCATAGTTGAAACAAATGTTAGGGTTGAATTATCAATGATGTTCAAACTAGTTCTTAGAAAGAATGCGGTAATCACAACAGGTAATGAGTTTCGTTAAATTGGTGCCTCATCTCTTTAAATTGATATTTTCGAATATGTTTTTCATGACAAAAAGTAGAACAGGAGAGTGAAAATATATATCATATAACATATAGTACCATATTAAAATAGCATAAAAATACTTTTTTTATCTATATATTCTATTTTGTTTTACATTAAAAATACTTAATTTTTATAATGGCTTTTCGAAATAAATAAGTTTTATCATAGTTAACGGGATAACCGAAGAATATTTCATAATATTTAATTATTGGTTAAAATATTTGGATGATCTTTATATTTGTATTGGAATCTCAATTCGGTAAGATTTTAAGTAGTTTCAATTGAGTCATCATTTTAAAAAATGTAATGTAATTTGGTTATTTCCGTTAGTATAGCATTGATGATGTTAACTCAGTGTCACATGTTAGTTCGTAATTTTTTATTTTTTTTTTAAAAAAAACTTCGTCACATGTCTAATGTGACAAAAATAGTGTAATGTGACAGTGATAATATCAAATGTCACTAGGAGAGAGTGTCATAAAAAAATTCAATTTAGTCATTTTATTTGTATTTTATTTTAATTTAATTCTAATTTTTTTAAATTGAAACAATTTCATCTCTCTCCAAGACTGTTTAATTTTTATAGAGATGTATAATAATATTTTCATTAAAATTGATATTTTTATTAAATATTTTTAATAATATTAAATTTATATTTTACAATGAACTTTATTTAAATTTTGTTTCATATATTTATATATCAATAATTTCTATACAAATAGTTGGTTTAAAAATAAAAATATTATAAATTCAAAAAAGACAAAAAAAATTATTTATGTATTATAGTTTTCCTACTTAATTTTTCTTATGGTTGGGAGAAACATATCAGGGAACTAATATGCAGTGTGGGAGGAATGTATAGAAAGTGAAGAAGCCTCATATCTAAAAATAGATAGCACCTAACCCAGCCCAAAACCCATTGTCCCAAGGAAAACAACTAGAACACCAAAGACAACAAGACCAAAAGAATTTTCATAATTATGTACTTACATGTATTATTAAAAGTTGAATAATTTACCTTATTTGATATTATGATATTGGATTTACTTATATTTGTGAAATATATGTATGTTTGACAAGTATTGCATGTCTTTATTTAGATAGAAATATTGACAGGTTTGTATTGGGATTGTCTTTTTGTTTGTGTATAAATATTGGCATATTTATTTAGTTGCTGAGAATATAACCTACTGTATTTATTGTATATTTTTCGGTTATCAACTAATTTTTTTTTTATCTTTAAAGTGTTTAAGTTATTGATAAATATTTTTGTATGTAATGTTACAAATTTAGTCGTCCTAATACGAATAAAAGTATTTGTAAATGATAATAATTTACTGACATTTCATGTGATGTCGATATTTCTTGAAATATTTCTCTCAATAAATTTTACAGACAAGTAAATTATCGATAAATTAAATTTTATAAATAATTTGTCTATAAATCGTAATATCGGTCAAAAGTTATAAATTACCAATAGATTCGTTTTCAACAAATTATGATTTTTTATTAATATTGGTTTTTTTTATTGCTTATCATCATTTAAAAATATGGTTTAAACAATCATATTTTATGTGAAAAATATGACAGTTTAATAACTTGTCATAATTTATACGGTTTTTTGCTGTGATAAATGATAATTGATGAGATTTCATTCATGTTAGGGTTCAAACGTCAAATAATTCACAAAGACGAGAAGAAAGTGGATTTGATGTTAGAAAATGACAAAAGTTATATATATTAGAAACGCTTTTATGGAAAACGGATTGGACTTGGGTTAATTTAGGCTAAGAAAATTAAAAATAATAAGAGACTAAAATAAGTATACAAAAACTAAAAAGATCAGAGAACAAATTATTCATATATCGTATTAGGAAAGAGAATTAAGAACTTGATGAAGAGGAAGATATGACTGATACAGGATTCAAGTACATTTGCTAGCACAAACATTTATTAGGATAGGAACATTTCTCTAAAACGACAACCTTGAATGAGGCTTTTGTATATGTCTGCAGCAATTTCTTTCCTTCCCCATTGAGTTATTGACAGTAACAAGTATCACAGAAGATATGAAAGAAACGTAGGATGCACTGAAGAACAAATCCAACCTAATTACTTCACACCATACCTCACAAGTCCAGGAATGTGAGCGTTTAACATATAATGAGTCCAATCAATAGTTGTGGGATCAAAGTTAAATCTTCCAACATCATCGTCATCTTTTCCCTTCATTTTTCTCATCCTTAAATTTTCTGCGTTCTTGTCATCGAAGCTGTGTCATTGACGATCCACAAAAAAAACATATCATATATACATAAAACCGGAATTGAAACATCGATTTAGGAGTATATATTTTCTTCTTACATTCCCTCAAAGAGGAGATAAGGTTTATAAAGTCTCAGTATTCCCATCATCTTTTTCACTTTCTCTTTACTTTCATTGTAAAAAGCCTCGTGACCGTAGCAGCACACTTTGTTCATCACCTTTACTCCCTTCAAAATAAGAGACAAAAAATTGAATTAGAAAGTGCAAAAATAGCATAGTGCGTTAATTTCCATGAAACAATTAGGTGCAAACCTTGAGAGCTAGCATGTATCGAATGTTGACGTATCTGTGAAATGAACTCACACCAGACATCCACGTAACTTTCTCGGGAACAGCCACTGGTTTTCCATTCATGTCTGTCAAAGGATGTTTTGTAAAGTATTGATGGGCCAAGTCCTCAAGATCAGAAATTCTGAATGGATTTCTCAGTGAAGAACCAATATGATAAATCAATGTCTTAGAACAACTCTTTGAACAAGCCTCAAGTGCTACTATCATGGAGTTTATCACCATGTCTGCTGGTATCTGCATACATAATCACTTCAATTTATTCTTCAGTTTTCAAATAAAAAATTATGAGAGAAAAAGAAAAAGAAAATGAATAAATTGATAACTTGCCGCATCTATAATTGTACTCCGACGACCAACGCTTCTTCTTAATTTTCCTTTACCGTACATTACAACAAAGAGGTCCATAGCTCTGCATTCACGTAATTAAATTGTGTAAGAATTTCTTTCACCATACAACTAAAAGATAAAGAGAAGATTCATAATATATACAAAACTCATATAATAATATTTTTGGTGTATAGTTTTATAAACATTCTCATAATTATTTGAAATACATACCTAACACCTTCAATCCAACCGGGAAATGGTTCAGAGTGAGTGCTGAGTATTACGGTGGGGCGTGCAATGATCAATGGTATATCACCTTTCATGTTCATCAAAATCTGTTCCCCCATTGCTTTCGTAAATACATACACATTTGGCCATCCGTGTAAGTTTGACCTGAATTCAAATGTATCATTGCCAAACATTCAACATCCAAATTTTAGGGTTTCCAAAATACAGGAAAAATGAAATAACTCTCTTTTTGAATTCCACATATCACCTTATAGTTCCAAGGTTTTTCATAACCGATGAGATTGTTTTTTCACTGGCATTTTCTGCTTCAAGTTCCTTCAATTTTTCTTCGGTTAACAGTTTTTCTAAGTTGATGTTCAATCTTGAGGACCCATTTAGGGTCTCACCCATATGAAAAGGTTTCTCTGCCACAAGTCCTTTGCGCTCACCGCATACGTAAGCTGAAAAGAAAAAATAATGCTTAGTTTAATGTGGGAACAAGATAAACTTATTCTGTTAATATCATCAAAGCTTTTCCACGTTTCTTATTATAAACACGTACCTGTAGATACATGAAGAAGCATTTGTAATTTACTACAGTTCTTGGCAAAGTTCAGAACATGAAGAGCACCCATCGTATTAATCCCCATCGCAACATCCAATCTGTAGGAAAAAAAACAACAAATTATATACATATTATTGAAAATGAACGTATTAGACATTATAAGCATTCATTATCTTTAGTTTAAAAGTAATTAACCTCTCATAAAACTTGGTAGTAGCAGCAGAATTTATTATGGTGTCTGTCTCTTCCCACAACTTTTCCCTGAGCTTTGTGTCTTTGACTCCCAAGTTCTCAACAGAAACATCGCCACCAACAGCCAACACCTTCTCAGATACGAAGGAGACAAAATCTGCACCCCACTGTCCTCGTAGCACCCTGAACAAATCCTTTGACAGAACCTGATACATATGTGCTCAGTTAACGTTATGATTACGAATAAAGATAAGTTAAGTAATTAATGACTACCTCATGGTGCAGCCGTTGTGCAGCTTCTTCTGAATTTCCTGCTCTTACAAGAAGGTATAACTTTTTTATGTTTGGTTGAACCCTTAATATCTTCTCCACCAAAACTGCATTAACACTAACAGAGATTAATCATACTGTACTAATAATAAATCCTGTTGTACAAAGTATGTTACAGGTTCGAAGAAGAAATATACGTTTTGCTAGGAATCCCGTTGCACCCGTAACTAAAATGGTTTTCCCCTCTAGAAAGTAATGAACACTTTCAAACTCCATTGAAGAGTTGTATAGCTTTCTCATGGTTTTGCCAATTGCCATAACTATCTATATATAGACAGAAGAATACAAATAGCGAAAGTGCTGGGTTAGGGTTTGCTAGACATTGCTACGTGTATAGGAAATGTTTTAAGAATAACGTAATAATATATATATATATATATATATATATATATATATATATAT